AAAAAAAGTTTCCTGCAATCCAAGGAGAAAGAAAAAAAGTCATGCAGCATAAAATCGATAAAAAAATATCATGCAAAAGAGAGCGCTCAAAAAAAATTCCTACATGTAAATCTACTGACGTTCTTCACTTCAGTATTGTGTCCACAGGCTTGCAAGATTTTGCATTTTTGAGCAGGTACATATGCTTAAAAGAACACGGGGTGAACAGTGGACAACATCACAGGGATTCTACCGCCTTTGGAGCCTATAACATACGATAGCCATGAAGTGGCGTTCCCTGGCAAAATTGTTGCCCCCTGAGAAAATCTGGGCTTAAGATACGTACAAGTTTATAAGTTATTTATACATATCTAATATGCATGGTAGAAAAAGTATTTTCATGTTAAGTTTTACTCTGAGTATATTTACAAATATCAAACATCTAAATAGTTTAGAGATCTTTTCAGCTACATAATTTAAAAATACATTATTTCCATTACAGTAACACCTTTAAATCGGGTTAGGATAAAACGCGTATACGGACGGACGGACGGACGGACGGCGGGCGGACGGCTTTCAAAAAACTTTTTCAGCCTTTTTTGAGTCGTATCCGCGCTTTATCCAAAAGGATAAAACGCGGATATGGTTCAGAAACGTTTTTCAGCCCTTTTTAAGTCATATCCCCGCTTTATCCAAAAGGATAAAACGCGGATATAGTTCAGAAAACGTTTTTCAGTCCTTTTTAAGTCATATCCGCGCTTTATCCAAAAGGATAAAACGCGGATTTGGTCCAAAAGGATAAAACGCGGGTATGGTCAAAAGAACGTTTTATAAGGGCATATCTATATGTATAAAGAATATTGAATATTGTCCTAGAATTTGAACAAATAAAAATCAATGTCTCTTCGCTTAAATACTTACTGCGAGATAAGAGTTCTAAAATTACAATTTAGTGTTAATAAAGTTTAAATTTAGTATCAGTTATCTGGTATATGTAGTACTCCAATTTTATGCCAACGTAATGTGCTGTTTTTCAAAGGCTTTTCAATGCAGTCATCGGTTTAAATATACCTACAATTCCCGTTAAGATATGAAAATTGCCGTCTGGCCTACTTTTAATTTACGCAAACGCAAAATTACAATTACAACTTTCGTGCTTAATTTTCTATGTTATCTGGGTGGTTATGTAGTAATCTATTAATGCTATGCCAATCTAAGGTGCTGTTTTTCAAGGGCTTTTTAATGCAGTTACTGGTTTAAATATACCTAAAATTCCCATTCAAATATGACAATTTCTGTACGGCCTATACTTTTACGCCAACGCGAATTATAATTGCCACTTTCAGGATTAATTTTCTGTTATCCGGTCGTGTAGTAATCTAACTTTATGCCACTTTGGCATATACATTGGCATAGAATGCATTTTAAATTAGATTACTACACGTAATCATGAAAGTGGCAATTGTATTTCTGTGTTTGCGTAAAGTAAGGCCGTACGGCAATTGTCTTATTTTTAGTGACCTTTAGATATATTTCAACCGATAACTGCATTGAAAAGCCCTTGAAAAACAGCACATTACATTGGCATAAAATTAGATAACTACATACCCAGATAACAGAGAAAATTAAGAATGAAAGTTGCAATTGTAGCTAATTTGCGTTTGCGTAAATGTAGGTCGTACGGAAATTGTCATATCGTAACGGGAATTTTAGATATATCTCTTTATTTCTACCACACAATTTTAAACAAAGAAGATACCCTAAAGACTAAAAATATTAAAACATGTTTTTACTTACAACTGTCAAAGCCCGCTTCCATCATCACGAAATTTTAATTATTATATATTATACTGTGGGCTTATACAATTATAAGGCTATTATTACTGTAAAGATGTGCAAAACTTGTAAACCGCATTAACGATCAGAAAGTCGTGTTAGAGGGATGTTTATGAAAGTTAACAACACTAATTTAAGTTTAAGTTTTAATAGCATGCTGATGCCGCGTGAGATTGTCCCTATGGGCAGAGAATACTAATGAAGTAAACAAATTAAATCAATTCATTTTACAAGTACGTTAAAATATTCGCAACTGATCTTTATGGGCATTTAACATCGTAAGCTCGCCATTGTAAATGCCCATAAATTTCTTTTTTTTAAATTTATTTTCCCATGTACATTACAATTTTTAATACATTATTACAAACTAACTATTTGGGCTAGAGACCTACTCAAGCCCGTAGCTGGCTCTCAGTTTCTGGGCGGGCACTGCAGAAAGAATATAACAGAGGGGGTTGGGATGATTCTGACTCGACCCCCCCCCCTCGACAACTTTTTAGGTAAAAAAATTTCCGGACGAGTACGTTTCAATATTTGCTTTCCAGGTACTTTATCTCAATTTTTCATACCAAATTTCGGCCTTAACTCACCGGTCAGTATGATCTGCAGACTGCAAACCGCAGACTGCAGACCAAGTACAAAATGCAGAATAGGTATAAATTGCATACTGAAATTGCAGACTTGGTATAAAATGCAGACTGTGAAAAAACCCGTATAAAACTACACATTACACCCGTTTTCAAAATTATGCGACTTACCAAAATATAATCTAAGACTCAAATGTCAGTTTTATGTCACGAGAGTTGTGAGAACTACTAAATATAGCAAATGTAAGCAAAATTAAGACATTTTAAACCGTATTTAATACCTAACGAGTAAAGAAGAATATTGAACTAAAATTAGCCAGATACACAAACTAAAAGAAACAACAAACCATGTCACAAAAATAAATTTGTGTAGTGAATGACTTTTCTAAGTTTGAGAAAGAACAATTTATCCTCGACAAATGTTTACTAAACCCGCTTACGCCTGACTATAGCTGTATAGCAGTAATATTATGATTTTGTTGTGCTTAAATTTTGCAATAATTTTCACTAAAATATTTTGAAAATCGCTCTAAACCTTTTTATATGAAGCATACAAAGCTTATATACATTAACATGCATCGACAATGAACCGCAAACTCGAACTTGTAAATAATTTGAACTTCCTGACAGTATGAAATATTAAAATATATGTTTTTTCACGGTCTGCATTTTATACCAAGTCTGCAATTTCAGTCTGCACCCAGCGGGCAAAATGACGTTTATCCAACGTTGAATCAACGTGGGAAATGACCTTCCAGACGTTGGATAGACGTTGAAAAAGGGTTGACTATGCAAATTGGATCGACGTTACTGTTTCGACGTTGAAACAATGACAATGCATGGACAGACATTGACATTGTCTGCGTAAAGAAAGTATGATTTCTGAATCTATGTATTTGTAACTGGATTTAGTATAAAGTGTTGCTTAATTAGTTTCTTGAAGGTATTATAGAAATTTATGTCTTTCAGATTTGTTTCTAATTTGTTCCACACATCAACTCCTTTATTTACATAATTTGTTCTCTTATAACAACTGCTCATATTTTATAAACTAGGTGAGGCTTTTTTTTATTCATTGGTTTACGGATCCGCCGACCGTAAATATTCAGAAAGTGAAAAATAAAAAAAAAAATTTGGATGTAAAAAATTTTACAATTTTAGTTAATTTTAATTAATTTGCCGTTCTGACATGAAGTACACTTCAAGTGAACTTTGACTCTAGGTACTGCTGACTCGTTATCGTTGTGACAATCAATATGTAGATTAGACACGTTTTTTGCGTTTTTTTTTTAAAATTGACGTTAAAAAATTTTATAAAGATTATTAATTTCGGTTCTCGTTTTTTTTAAAAATTTTTTCCGACCTACCGACCTCTTATTTTTAAAGTCAAATCCGTAAACCAATAAATAAAAAGTCTCGCCCTATAGTACTTGAATTATTAAGCTTTCGTTTGTGGAGATGGAACTACTTGAAAAATATAAGGAGAATTTCGACGTTTTGAGCGAAGGCCCATAAATTCCCTGTATTATACGACTTATACGTGATTTAATTCCACTTTTACAGTTGATTTTACATAATTTTAAACCTGAAATTATTATTATATTATTTATTATTAAATGAAAAAGTTTAATTAATACAATAAGTTTAGTTTTGAAAATTTACCGCCAAAATTGTTTGCAATTTGCGAACTTGGTTCGGAATTTCATAACGAATTTCGATAATTTGATGCGAAACTTCCGAATTTGATTGGCCGGTTTCCAATCAACTTGATGATCTCGTGTTTATAGTTCCCAAATTCCCAACCAACCTCGCAATTGGCGCGGCCAAAGTTTCATGAAATCAACTGTAAGGTCCATTACACACCAGACGCGATTCGACAACGTGACGCGATTTTTCGATTTTCACTGACCGATAACTTTGATCCTGGTTTAAGTTTTTCAAATGACAGGTGTCTCGACCTTAAGGTCGATCCGATCGGGCCAGCCCGGCTCATGCATGAACAGGCCCCTTGATCTGTGTATTTTGGAAAATTTGTATCCGTTGACGGTTTTATGTTTTTAAAAACTGAAAATTCTCGTCGCGTTGCCGAATAGCGTCCGGTCTGTATGGGTCTTTACACGTAATTAGAGGTTTTGTTCAGAGCAGGCCCATTGAAGGAAAAAAGACGAAGAGACACAACACCCCCGTAGTTAATTGACTTGTTTATGCCCAAGTTGAAACATTGTTACATTCCTTCGTTTTGATTGACATGTTTACGCACAAGCCCAAGGAAATATATACCTTTCTTTCGTTCGGGTTTTCCCCAGCTGAGTTTTTTTGTCCTATATATTTGCTGACTTTTCTGCTTCAACGAGGGCTTGCAACGTAGGCTATGTAATAAACTTAAAATTCTGTAAAACTCAAACAAATACAGTTTTAAAGTAAATATACAATTACTCGCTGATGTATCCGTCCACACACACATCTTCAACCAGTGCGTTCATTTCTTCGTGTTTCAGATCTTCTATTTCATGTTTGTAACCACAACTACCTTCCCCAGTCCCAGATCGCTTAGTACATTTTGAAATAAAGGCTTGATATGATTTAACCAGATTAGCTTGTGTTTTCTTCAATACAGAGAATTTTTCATCCAGACCTTGATCCAAATTTGCTTGTGTAATTTTGCCGTCATCCATTTGTCTGCGCATAAATCATTGTATTTACAATTTAATGCCGCATGCGCCCTTTCAACTTGGTCGAGGTTTCCCATCATTGACTTACTTAGTACTGAATTGTCTTTCATAATTTCTGTGTATACAGTTTCGCACTTCTGCACATGCAGTTGAAGAAGTTCAGTTTTCTTTAAAGTCCATGCAACATCCACTACTCGATTTAAAGCTTGAACACCCCAGTGGCGTAAGGCGATGTCATTTTCAACTTCTTCTGCCTTTTGATTCCAAAAACGTTTTCTCTCTCTTTCAAATAGCTCGTCTGGATAGCATTCTTCTAACTCCTTGACTGAATACCTTCTTATCAACGGACTATTGCTCTCTGTTCCAGTTTCTGGTTTTAAGGTTTTGTTTTCAAATTGTGATGTCGACTTAGATTTAAACCCTAAAAATCCGTCTGTCTCTATATCTGGCTTTTGACCAATCGAAACAGGGCTATTTGAACGCAGAACTTGCACAGTTTCAGATGCCTTCCCTTCTGACTTATTTTTAATGACAAATATTTCGTATTTGAATCCTTTTAGTTCTGTCTTTGAAATGCATTGTTTAAGAAGGTAATTACACTCTTGTAGACATGATATTGAACAGCCAAAAAATTTAAATTTAAAGTCACTGTGAACGAGCGCCCCGAGTTGTTGCTGAATTTGCTTCCGAACTTGGGTTAGGTCTTCTTCTAAATCATATTTAACGATAAAACCAAGTGTCTGTTTAGTTTGGTCGTCGCGAATTACAATCATATTATTTCAATGCGAGTAGTCGGGCTGCCTGAGAATGCTTTTTTACAAGTAGTGCGTTTCTGTGTCAGGGCTCGAAATATTAACGGCCGATCAACGATCAATGATCGGCAGGAAATTGTTTTTGATCGGCGAAAAAGCAACGTTGCCGTTCATCTTGATCGGCAAGAAATATATTTGAGTAATTTGACCATTGTCTGAAAGACATGCTTATACCTGTACGCGGTAAAAGACAAATAAAAATAACATGAAACACATTCGAAAACGCGCGAAAAACTCTTGTTTAGTTGATACGAGTCATACGACAGGCCGCAATGCTATGAAGTATTGTCGTCTCCGCTTCAACAGTCTGCAATCCGAACCACGACGACGAACGTCTTTGTCATAATAATTTCAAATTGATAGGATTTCTTGAGTAGGATTTTTTAGGATTTTCTCATTTAATATTAAACTAGAGGGCACTCAGAGACTGCATACCTCCGCCCCCATTGAATTTCGGTCGTGTGAAATGCAACTAAGACAATAGATAATGAAGGCTGGAGCTTAATGAGGCTTAGTACTGCGTGCATACATTATACACGTCCTAATTACGCATTCAGTGAGTTTTTTTAATTGACCGGGAAAAGCAAGAAAATGTTTTGTTCATTTCTCGTTCAATTTTTAACCAAATTCAACCAAATTTTAATCAGTTCTTCCGTAGCCGATGGGAAATGCATTCAAAAAATTTCGTATGAATATGTTTGGTATTTCTTGAGTTATCGTGCTCACAGACAAACACACACACATACACACACACATACACACACACACACACACATACACACACACACACATACAAACCCAGATGATTACATAACCTCCTGGCGGAGGTAATTACCTCCGCCAGGAGGTTATGTAATCATCTGGGTTTGTATGTGTGTGTGTGTGTATGTGTGTGTGTGTATGTGTGTGTGTTTGTCTGTGAGCACGATAACTCAAGAAATACCAAACATATCTTAAGAAATTTTTTGAATGCATTTCCCATCGGCTAAGGAAGAACTGATTAAAATTTGGTTGAATTTGGTTAAAAATTGAACGAGAAATGAACAAAATTTTGTCTTGCTTTTCCCGGTCAATTAACAAAAAATATTACTGAATGCGTAATTAGGACGTGTATAATTTATGCGCTCAGTGCTAAGACAATAATGAGATGATAAACCTCATTAAGCTTCGGCCTTCATTATCTATTGTCTTAGTTGAATTTCACGCGACCGAAATTCAATGTCTAAAACAAGGCTTACGGAGTTACGCATTATTACGTTCAGCAAAGTGCCAGTCCATTCAAATTCTAACAACATTAGATTACTTCAATACAGGGTGTATAAAAAGAACGCAACCTCGGAATTTCCCAAGAAATCGACATTGTTTTAAAGACAAAAGATTTTAGCTGCCTGGGAATTTAAAATAACACAACTGTGAAAATTACTGCACGCGCGAGTGCATAAAGCAAAATTTATGCATTTATTTAATGACACTTAATAAGTTTTTATTTTACAAGTACTGTACAATACAACAACAGTAATATGTTCTATTAGCAATTCGATTTCAATTCGCGGGGGCCTGAAATCTTTTATGCTTAAGAATTATAAAGTGGATTTCTTAGGAAATTCCAAGGTTGCGTTTCACTTCCGAGTAACGGGCGGAGGTATGCAGTCTCTGAGTGCCCTCTAGTTATTCATTGTTATTGGCAAGGTTTGATCCGCTATCCTTTGTAGAGCAGTATAGCCACAACACTATTGCAGCAATCGCTGAAATTTAATACAGGTAACACACAGAAACAATAGTTATATTCATTCATTTACGATCAGAATCTAAATTACAAAGGAACTGGACTGCCGGTCATTTAGTACATTTCGAAACCTAATAGACCAATTGCGAAACTTAGTGGCCGCGCCTTCATACTGCACGAGAACGAGGCTTATTATGCAAAAACAAAACAATTTCTATATTTTTACATAGCGAAAAGTGAATTTTAGGGTTTTTAAAGTGTTTTTTCTTGAATCTCTTTGATTTTTTCTTAATATTTCGTGCTAGGTTATATAAATATTTGTTAAATTTACCTAAACATCGATTTCCCACTATATTTTTACCCGCTTTGGAGAGATATTTCGTTGTTGTTTTAGCATGCGATGGAACAAACATATGGAAAAGATCTACCTAGACTTTAAAATCTGATCAAGATGCAAATAAAATAGCCAGTATAACTTAACAAACTAAAATATAACTCTTTCTACCCAGATTTTTTTAGACTTCGTGCGAGAAAAAAACGATTTTGTCAAAGGATAATAACATAAAATTTCTACAAATTTTGCCCGACATTTACTTTCATATTAGTAAAGTTAAAATCGAAAACTTGCTATTATATTATAACTGAAACAAAATTAATCAATGTTACAACTTATTCTTTGAAATGTATTAATAAAACAGACGGAAAATACCTGATTCTTTCTCTGGTATAATCTGCTTCTTTTATATCGGACGGCGAAAAACAGCAAAACTTTGCCTCGCACGCCGCAAAAAACAATGAAATTTGAAGTAAGACTAAATCTATGAACAAGTTTAATAAAGATTTATACATAGTCAAAACAAAAATATTGAAAAAAATGAAGAGATTACCATGAAAACGCGTCTCAAACACTGAAATTCATTTTTCGCCATATAAAAATATAGCAGAATGATTTGTTTTTGCATAATTAGCCTTTCTCACGCCGCCATTTTTGGGTGGCATTTCAGCTGAAGTCTGTGCGATAAGTCCACATAACAGCGACTTTTTATAATTTTTTGGACGAATGATGGTAAATTTGCTTTGTAAATTGTTAGTTTATCGCTTTTCACATTGTTTGAATTGTCTGCATTGGATAATGAAAATTTGATGCCACCCAAAAATGGCGGATATTCGTCATCGTGAGAAAGGCTAATAAGCCTCGTTTTCGTCACAGAGTAGAGACATACAGAGACGTAACTAGTGTACCCACTTTTTTTGTGCGCATGCTCGGCAAGTTACTAGATGCATGCATCTGATTGGAAACACCGCGGAAAAACGTCTGCGCATGCGTCAACCTTACCTGTAATAGTATTGCGAACTTGATGAGAAGCTGTTCCGAACGTTTCCGAAGGCTCAAAATGGCGGTAAATAGGAGTGACTTCATTGTGTGTCTTTACAGCCAGATTTCAAGCGCAAAAATAAACATGTCATTCTAAAAACTAGAAATAAATACAGCCAGAAGGTTCAAGAAATTGTATTGTACAAGAACATGAACTAAAGGTGATTGTTGACAAATTTATCGTCTGAAACATTTTGTTTATCAACTAAGCAATGACAATTTCCGAATTTTCGTTTGAGAACATTTCTTTAAAAAAAACTGTGTCGCCAAATATAAAAAATTTGCGTGTTCACAATAATTAAACTTTAGGATTTATTCTACAATTTGAGTGGATTAAGAAGCTTAACTTTTCGAGAGTTTTATTAACTTTTTAGTTTGAATTTTTGTTTTGAATAATTTTGCAAAAATTTTCGAAGTCGTGTCCGTTAAAATCAACATTTTTTTACATGAATTATATTTCATTCCATACTTTAAATGCCAGGACGCTTTCAATTAATGTCTAGTCTACCCATTTGCTATATTTTCTCGTTTGTTTTACTAATTTTTGACCAATTAATAAGCATGTTTTTATTTTAGAAATTGATATTCAAATTCCCGCCATATTTTCATAATTTGGTGCATGCGCAGACGTTTTTCCGCGGTGTTC